ATATGAAATACAAACACATAAAAACAATTTTGCATTTACCATTTGGAGAGAAAAATGGTTTTATTTGAAATGCAGACTTGCCAAAGCTCTTTCTCTTATTTGGAGTAGAAGGGAATTCCATCTCATCAAAAGAGAAGAATCTTTTGGGGGTTTTTTTTGTTTGTTTGTTCCCATAAAAGGTGTCAAATCAAATTATATTTTCCCATTCCCTTTCCTTACTTAAAAAGAAAAAAAAATGTCCAAATAAATGACAGAATAAGCTTTTCAGTTGAATTATGTTTTCCTGCTCCCTTTTCTTAAAAAGAAAAAAAAATGTTTTTGTCCAAATGCAATGAGAAAATGAGCTTTTCAGTTTTTCTTTTAATTTGTTTTGTGAAGTAGAACCTAAGTAAGTAAAGCCATATCCAATTTTCAAACTGCCAACCTGTAAACTAAACAAAGGTAGAATCTTAGTAGGACAATGACAGCACATAAACATGAGGACTAGTAAATAATATATGTTGTTTTATTTAAACATCATAGTGCTCAGATACTGTAATTTTGTTTTTGCTCTAGTTCACATGCATGCCATTTGTTTACAATATTCATTTGTATATTATGACACAGCAAAGAAGTTGAAATCTAAGTCTAATTAGTGCATGTTTTTTTTTAAATGTACGTATATACATGTTCAAAGAACATAGTTTTATGTTGTGTAGTGTGTGCCGAAACATCTGTTGTACAAGCACTAAATAATTTTGGTTTTAACTGTGCCTTGATCAGGATTCTTTCGAAATGTGCAATAACAACGGAGGAAACCAGACTGAGACAGATTGGACTCCTGAGTACCTGTGAATGCAGGGATATATTTTTTTTTTGGTTCGTTTGTTAAATAAACAACTCTTTGAGTAGTACTTAAAAAGGAATCAGACCTGCCCTGGCCTTGAATTGGTGTATGCTTCTTTATATGATAAGAAATAAACGACGCTTGCAGGAAAATGGACTTGTCTCTTTAGCTTCTCATAACTGGAGCCAGTGTTGCAAATCAGAACATATTTTGGGATCCACTGGTAATTTAATTAGCACTCAGCATGTACAGAAGGTGCCGCATTGGCTATCGGTAACTGAATTCCAGCACAAAGTCTGTTTGAAAAAGAGCTTTTTCACACGTACCATTGGCGGTTAATAATCTTTGGAGAGCCAATTTGGTCTGGTGGTTAAGGAATCAGGTTAGAAATCAGGAGGTGGTGAGTTCTAGTCCTGCCTTTGCTATTAAAGTTGGCTGGATGACTTGGGCCAATCACCAGGAGATGGTGAGTTCCAGTCCTGCCTTAGGCATGAAAGCTGGCTGGGTGATTTTGGGCCAATCACCAGGAGATGGTGAGTTCTAGTGCCGCCTTAGGCACGAAAGCTAGCTGGGTGGCTTTGGGCCAGCTTTAATTTAATGAAGACTAAATCTTATTAAATAGAATAGGTACACACTCTTCACTGCAAAATAGCGTTTTCTATTTGACAAATTGCCCATACTAAGATGTTCAGTCTTCAGCTTGGGACCAGTTCTACTACACAATGGACACAAGCTACTGTTGCTTGAGGACCATCTGTTCTACCGCTGGCTAATGGTATCTTCTATTTGAACAGAGTTCTGCCTTAGCCCATTGGAAAACTCAAGAATCTGAAGACACGCGGTTCCCACCATGGGCTGTGAAGCAATTCTAGCTACTGTCATTCTATACCAGGGATAGGCAACCTTGGCTCTTTTATGACTCGTGGACTTCAACTCCCAGAATTCCTGAGCCAGCCATGAGTCATAAAAAGAGCCAAAGTTGCCTACCCCTGTTCTATACCAGATTTGCCAGGCAAATCTTAATGCAAAAAAGCAGTAGGCAGACTTCAGCAATGCCCACATCCACCACGAGATGTCTCCTTCCTACTGGATCTCAGAAATACTGGTCTGATCTAACCTAGCCAGAACAGATCTCTACAGGATTCTGGTACACAGGTTGAAGCAATGGATTTGCAAGGGCTTCTACGGTTCAACTCACCCAATCATCTTTGCAGCCTTGGCATGGGCAAGCTACTGGTTGTTTAACTCCCGTGGATTTAAAAGCGTATTTCACAATCTTTGGCAACTTTTTAAGATGTGTGGATTTCAGCTCCCAAAATTTCCCAGCCAGTGCTGGCTGGGGAATTGTTAGCACGGTGCTTTACCTATGCTATGACTCTTTGGGAAACCACATCTATGAATGGATGGAATATTTAAAGTCCTTCAACCAAGGAGCCGGAGGAAATGGATCTGCTGGATAAACTATCTGAAAGCAAGTTTCTACTTTTCTTTTGCTTGCAAATGGGAAGATGGGCAGATGTCTCTCACTTCCACATCGTTCAGGCAAGGTTGCTCTGAATCCCACAACTGTCCACAATCTGTTGAGGAATCCCATAACAGACAAGCAGCGAATTCCCTGGAATTTGTAAGAATGGTGGGATCTGACAGTTGCCACTAACCTAAATAACGCAGCTGCTTGCAGCTGCTAAAATAAGCCGCTTCCCTTCTGTTCTATTTTTTTTAAGCAAATCTTTTTTTAAAACCCCTTTCTATTTTAAGATGACTGTCTTAAGATGACAGCCAGCAGCGGCACCTAGCTGATCTCAAAAAGCTAAGCAGGGTCAGCTCTGGTTAGGAATGGAATGGGAGGCCAACAGAAAGAGCAAAGCACAAAGGTGGGGCCAAGGAAAGCACATTGGTGTGTCCACGTAGGCCTGGGGTCTTCAAACCTGGCCCTTTTATGACTTGTGGACTTCAACTCCCAGAATTCCTCAGCCAGGTGCCTGGCTGAAGAATTCTGGGAGTTGAAGTCCACAAGTCATAAAAGGGCCAAGTTTGAAGACCCCTGACATAGGCACTGAGAGCTGAACTCAGCTTGAAGGCTCTTGATTATTCAACATATTCACATAGATATTAGATAAACTAGGTCTCTAATCCTAATTTATACCATCAGCAGAATCAAACTCGCGTGCAGTTCTTTTCAAAAGGTGGAAAGATAAATGTGCTGAATTTAGATCAGTCCATCCCAGCCAAATGATGTACTGTGGAGGCAGGTGGGATGAAATTCCCCCAAATTGAGCAAATGGCTAATTTGGTTAAAAGTAGGGGGGTCTCCAAACTTAGCAACTTGTGGACTTTAATTCCCAGAATTCCCCAGCCAACATAGCTGGGCTGGGGAATTCTGGGAGTTGAAGTCCACAAGTCATAAAAGGGCCAAGTTTGAAGAACCCTGGATTAAAGGATGGATTACCCAAAACTCTATCTCACTCTTTTTTTAACTACACCCCCTTAATAATATAAAAACATGGTGCACATGTAAGCCACTTTTCTGTGATCTGATGACTTTTAGCCTTAATTATTTCATGAAAGTTGAGGATGGGAGAAGTTATAATGCAATAGACTTGATAGACCCAAAATTCAAAGCAGGTATAAGCCACAGGGTAGTAAGGCTCCAATTCAACTCCGACCCATCATAAATCCAAGATCGAAGATCCCCATCTATATTCCTGGGAGTAAATCTTATTGCTATGGGATATTCCAGAATCAAAATCCACAGGAGTGGGCTGTTAACATGCCCCCCCCTCCATTAACTTTTTAAAAACACACATAATTCTTTATTGGCCAAGTGTGATTGGACACACAAGGCATTTGTCTCTGGGGCACAAACTCTCAGTGTACGCACAAACAAAGCGATAAGCCATAGATTATAAATCATAAGATACAATCATAAGATACAAGTGATAAATCATACCAATAGAAGGTAGTAGGAAAGATGAGAAGGTAAGAAAGATAAGAAGATGACATATCTTATTTGAATTAGAGAGAGGATCACAAGATCCATGAAGAAGAAAATCTCTTTGAACAAAATAGTTGTTGTTAGTTGTGAAGTCGTGTCCGATCCATTGTGACCCCATGGACAATGTTCCTCCAGGCCTTCCCTGTCCTCTACCATCTTCTGGAGTCCATTTGAGCTCATACCTACTGCTTCAGTGACTGCATCCAGCCACCTCATTCTCTGTCGTCCCATTCTTCTCTTGCCCTCCATCTTCCCCAGCATTAGGCTCTTCTCCAGTGAGTCCTTCCTTCTCATTAGGTGGCCAAAGTACTTGAGTTTCAACTTCAGGATCTGGCCTTCTAAAGAGCAGTCAGGGTTGATCTCTTCTAGGGCTGACCGGTTTGATCGCCTTGCAGTCCAGGGGACTCGCAGGAGTCTTCTCCAGCATAGTTCAAAGGCCTCAATTCTTTGGCACTCAGCCTTCCTTATGGTCCAACGTACATTCTCCTAAAGTGAATCAACTACAGAGTCTAACATAACACAACTATTAGAGGCCAAGAGTGAGGCTTCAGTAATATCTGAAAGCAAATCCCCAGTTGGCTATGTTGAAGTGTTTTAATTCATCTTCAGAAAAAGAAAAGTTCTGGTAACTGAAAGCGATGTTATTAAACAAGTTCTGCAAATATCTGGTGTCCACACAGAATAAACATAAGAGGGGACTCAGAAACTGATTTCAGGGGGCTTAAATTAACTCATGGTCGTAGGGCTAAAATGTATAAATCCAGTATTTGGAAGATAATACCATAGCAGCCAAAAGATCTCACCACTCCTGTTTTTTCTACTTAGCTGATTACAAAACAATGACTGCCCATCTTGCCTATTCTGAGAATAGGAATTTTGTAACACCTAATTACATCAATCTTTCTGAAACAAAAAAATGCCAAAGATGTAACCCACAACGTTCTGAATGAAGAATACGCACATTTTGGTCAAATGTAAAAAAAACTTTTGCAATGAAAGTTAAAGTCTTCTACTAGCCCACATACAATCAATCATGAAGACATATTAAAGGAAGACAAAGTCTTGTAGCAACTTAGGTCTGCTAAAAATGATATGTCTACTGTACAGCTAATAGTTTTACTCTCCTGTCCTCACTCTTCCGAACTAATGAGTACAAATAAATGAAGACACAGACTCTAATATGCATTTTCTTTTTTATTTCAACACTATGATTCAAGAGCCTATAATGCTTTTCCCTTTGTACTTCTGCATGTAGCACTGCAATCATAACTTACAAAAGGTTTAATACACAAATGTACATGAAATTACAATACAAGGCTCTGTAAACATCTAGAATGTAACCTTTAGTCTTAAATCATTATTGTCCCAAACTGTTAAATAGAAAATTTCAATTTGAACAATCTCCAAACCTCAAGGAATGACATTCATTCTATGTATCAAAAATAGAGCTTTTTTTCCCAAGATTTGTTTGCATCCAAGCAACTGTTTTCTCTTTTATTCTTTGGTTTACAATGGATGGCAATTCCGTTTTCTAATGAAGCATTTATCAGAAAGAGTGCCAAATTGTGATCAAACTTTGGTTAAACCAAAACAACTTTCAAAACGGGCAACGTATATATATATATATATCTCACCTCCTTTGTGTTACAAAAGCCTCCACTCTTTTGTTATGAAAGCTATCGTTTGAACACTTTCCATAATGTTTTTAAAAAAAATTGGACGCCAGCATCGAAAGCAAATTTGGAGAGGCCAGCAACATAGATGCCAGTCACAGGCAGAAAATTGTAAATTGCATAGTCTAACGGAGATCGTGTGCTTTTATCTCTATTACATTACACAAGATTAACAGTCTTACCTAAAGCATCACACAAGCCAAAAGTATATATATTAAGACCCTTGTATTGAAGCTTTTACAAAGGCAAAAAACCACCATTATAGTACTCAACTTCTATAGCTTTGCTTTAAATAGGAAAGCGTTTCTACGTCTACAGGCATCGGGTATTTCAAGGCAACAGAAGGTTGAAGACAATCCACTAGTCCCTTTGCGGCAAACTCTCCATCTCCTTCAGCATCTCACCAACCAGGGGAGAGGTATTGACACTGCAGTGCCAGGTGGATTGCTCACTTAGTGCATAGTAACTCAGGACTGTTTGGGTGCCCACATTTTAGGTACAAGTACAAACTCACACTAGGCAGGAGAACTTTAAGGGAGAAGAGGCGACACCATCAATCATCTCAGAGCCCAATACAAACTCTAAAACTTCACATCTGACCCCCTCTGTATGAGAGACCGGAGATAACCTTGAAAAAAAGGAATGCAAGAATTGTTAAGTAAATCTCAATTTCACCTTGGGAGGGAAGAGGGGTTGGGAAAGAAACTAATTCCACCTTGATTCTCTTGGGTATAAAAGGGGAAGCTCCGTCAGGCTTTCCAGATCATTCTGAGACCCTCCAGCAATAAAGGAGAGTTCCTGGTAAGTCTGTTTCCTCACCTGGCCGAAGCAGGAGACTTGACACATTTTAAGGGCTGAAGACGGTAAAAGAGGTGATAGCACAGAGAAGACATTAAAAGTCTTAGGACTCCTGACAAAGGAATGAAGTACTCCGGTGTGCAACTAGCCATACTTTACTCTGCAACTCGTTGCATTTGTTAAACAGAAGACGGATTTACTTCCAAAGAAAACTGTCACATTTGAGATGACCATTGTTTGGTTTCAGAAGCTCATGCGTGGCCATTTTGACTACTGCAGGCCAATCGTTTTGGATCGTATAGGATCTCTGAAATGAAGATAAAGAGTTCCACCTTGGTGGGGGTGGGCAGGGAAAAGAAGAGGATGCTGCATCAACTTAGGAGTCGCCCAGATGACATGCCCACTTGACCCAACACTCACGACAACAACTAGAAAGAAGGAATCTTCCTTGACATCTTAAAAGTTGATAATTTTTTAAAAAAAAAAACCCAAACATTTGTTTCAGCCATCATCTTAGTGGGATCCTTGGTGCTCTCTGACCTTGTTTGTTTTCTTGCAGACGTTTTGTTACCAAACTAGGTAACCTCACCAGTGCGTGATGATGTTACCTAGGAGCCCACAATTCAACGCTGAGCTACAAATATCCTCTTCTAATGACATCACCGTTGTATTTTAAAGAGTGAAAACTGTGTGATTAAAAAAAAAAACCCCAGATAAACAGTTCCAGGATTTTTTTAATGCAAACTATTTTCGCACTCAAGGCAGGTGTCTCCTGAACTATGCAAACCCATCTGAATCTGCTTTATTTTACTTCATCCTGAGATAGTAGGGCTAGTTGCAGACTAAGCAGTCAATGTGGCCTGCCGATAATGATAGTTAAGCAACCCTCTTAGTAACTAAATTGTGGCTTTGAGTTGCCACATTCCTTTCATAAAAAAGTGGAGACTGCTTAAAAGCCAAGAAGCTGAATGCAGACAGATACTTCCCCCTTTATCAGCCTGTTGCCAGTAGCATGACGCTACAAAACCTATCTTGTTCCTATCAATTAAGGCTTCGGTAGCTATAAAAATTAGCTAAACAATGACAGAAAACAGTACACCAGCTATCTTAACCCTTGTGGTTCTCAAAAATCCTTTTAATTATCTTTTCATTTTGCAGCCTCTTGACCCATTTGCTTACCTAAAGTTGAAACATCTTGATTTTCATTTGACAGAGGAATTAACTCTTATTTAGTAGAAATTCTCATCGGCCAGGGTTGGGTTTTGCATCTCTCGTGTTTCAAATCAGAGATGGAACCCCCCCCCCTCTATAATTCACACCGTGGTGGGAAATATTAACCTAACATGCATAGGTGGTCACAGGCAGCTTCACCCTCAGTGGTCACAATGCAGACATGTCGCTGCTCAGTGAGCTGCCTTGATCAGCACTGCGAAGTACGTATCTTACAGTAAGAAGGCCCAGCTACATTCCTTTTGTTATACAAAGCTGATTTTTTTTTAGAGGATGAAAAACAGTAGGATCACTAAACCATTAAGAAAAGACTTTAAGAAGCCCATATAAATGCCAACATACATTTTCAGACACATCTAACAGGGGGGGAAAAAATAGAACAGACCATGTGAAGGTCTCTACCTGAGGAATCTGAAGAACAGCAGTTTAACCGTTTAAACAAGTCTGATCAAAAGGACTCCATGTGGAACACAGCCTTTTGACATAGCCCAACATCGTATAATGGCTTCATTAAAAACGAGCACGTATATAAGTAGTTTTGAACAAGTGCTTCTGTTAGAACAGGTCTGTGCTAGCAAAGTATGAAGGTATAAAAGTCAGGTTTTGGAATGTCATTTCTATCCCAATCTTTCCACGACGGAATGCTCTCTTTGCAGCCTACCAAAATTTTTCAGTGTCTCAAGAACACAGATCTGTATTTGGCTTTGCTTCCTAAAGCTCCAAAGAAAACGATAATCATTCTTCCTACGGAAGACTTCCAAAGGCATTGCTTCAGATGATAGATACTACTGTGCCTCCGAAAGACAGCATTATATTATTATTATTATCATTTTAAAAAAACTTTTTTTAAACCACATATGCCTAAGGGCTCTTCAAAAAGACCGTCCAAAAGGTATACAAATTTTTATTACAATCTTAGTATCTTTCCTAAAGAAAAGCAGCATACAAAGATGGTGTTTTTTTAAAAAAAAATAATTACCCACATTCAGTAACTGTGCATATTGAGAGCAAAACTACGTTTCTCCATACAATTAAGCACTTAATATAAAAGAATGATGTTAAATGCACAAGACAAGCAAAGCTCATTGGTATTTTTTACTCAAAGTTAAGAGTATCTTGGGTCACTTTTTGGTGTCCATTTTTATAAAGTAGCTTTTTTAATTATTATTATACAGCATCCTAAAAATCTAGAACTCAACCTGTTTCCTGTTACCACTCTCTCTCCCGCTCTCCCAGGACAGCTCTGCAGGGGATCCAGAAGTGTCCAGGATCATCAAGGCCACGTAATCGGAAGCACAGTAAATCTAAAGAGGGACATAGCATTATTCAGAGGGAAAGTGCAAGGCTTCCTGGTTCTCTCCAGGTTTCCGCAGGACGGCAGCTCCTGCTCCACGGGACGCAGAAATCTGCGGCATGTCTCTTCCGATGATTTCCGTCACTACATCAGAAAAGGAGAGAAGGATCAGCATGTTTTTATGTCTTCCATAAACATCAGTTTCAGAGTAATGCGTGTTTAGACACACACACACACACCCTGCAGTGCTGGTTACTTCCAAACAGATTGAGACATCTACTGCAATTCGCTTTTCGTGGATCTGTCCTGGAAGATTATCTGAAAGCTTAAACTGATTCACCGTGCGGTGTATACAGTGAATAAATAAATACAATGCAGCAGTCCAGGGAGTGATGGGCACAACTAGGTCAGTCCCTGTAGCGGCATCTATATTCCTGGAGCTACATCAGCTGCCAGTTGGTGTCAGGCTACAATTTCAGAGGGGCAATCGTCCCCTTTAAAGCCCTGGGTGGCTCAGATCCTACTTCAAGACAGCCTGCTCCAAAATGGCCATTTTGAAAAGTCTGGCTGAAAGGTCTTCTCAGCCCTAAGTAGTTCCCTCATAAGAGACTCCATAACAAGGTCTTCTCAATGCGTACAGATTACCCCACTGAACTTCCGCAGAGAAGTAAAAACTTCTGGAAGTGGGCATTTGGAAGGTGCTACGGTTGGGATCTGCCCCGGTTAGGTTGCACTTTATGGCTCAAACAAGTAGTCTTTGAGTTACGTCCAGTCACTTAATAACGGTTAGAAGCTACACTGGATCTTCAAATCATGAAGGAAGAGTCCACGCCAAACATTTTAAAATGTTTTGGTTGTTGAGAAGATGCTGGGAACTCAAGAGGAACAAAACTTGACCTGCTGCTCACAAAACCTCTAAGAACCAGGTAAAGTTTCCCTCTTCCGTTGCCGTTCTTTAAAAGCCATTATCCAAACCTTTTTAGGGATACGAACAGGAGTCAAAAGTATTGACTAAGAAACGAGAAGTATGGCTGTTTCAGCTTGGAAAAATGTCCTCTGTTTTCAGCTCCCCTTCTCCCCTCCTTTTCACAATATGGTCTAGTTGGCTGAAAACTGACAGCCGTTTCCACGAGCGTTTCAGGCAGCCAAAATCAAGTACTGCATTTGCTAGCTTTCTTTCTGAAAGCTTATCATCCCTGCTCATTGTTTGTAAATAAAGAGGCAATTGGCTGTCTCAAAGAGGTCCCAACTCCCTCTCCGGCTGCAACGCCCCTTGGCCATCAGATGCAGAGGGCCAACAGTGAGGCGTTCTGGGAACATCCCTCAAAATAGATGTGGACAAGACTCCGATGGGCTAAGGCTAAGCAATGAGGGCACATATGATTACATTCCTCACCCCTGAACACTGTTCTGTCTCGGCTTATTTGTCACTGATCCCAAACATTTGGCAACCTTTGTTCTTCAGAAGACTTCAAAGGACTGAAAGCTTTATAATTGTAAAAAGGTCAGATTTCTACTTGCCAAGCTCAGGATAAAGCTGCTTATTTATAGTCTGGTGCCCCCATTTTTTAAACCTTCCTGAAAAGCATATTAAAATTTCAGCCTTCCATCCTTCTGAGGCCAGTAAAATGAGGACCCAGATTGTCGGGGGGGGGGGGCAAATAGGCTGACTGTGTAAACCGCTTAGAGAGGGGCTGTAAAGCACTATGAAACGGTATATAAGTCTTAAGTGCTAATGCTGGCTGTATTCCCAAATTGAACTCACTCAACACAGGCTTGTCCATACAGAAACCTAACCACACAATCCAAAGATAGGAAGATGCAAAGCAGTGCAAGGTTAAAGCGTCTTCCAGTCCAAAGTTTTTTAAGAAAAAAATAAATCTGCCCAAAGAGCTCAGAAATATGAAGAGCTCATCTATTCGGTGGGATTCCTGAATTCTGCTTGTTTGCTATGCTGCCCTGAAATTTATTCTATTTCCACACACAAAAACACTTGAGGTGTTAATGTGTTCTTGGCAGAAAGCGATGAGCTTTCAGGAGCTCCACTGTACATAACTGATCACATGATATATTCTTCTGGGATTATGTGTCTTTGTTTGGGATTTATGACATGTTGATGTCTCCATCCGATACCGATATTTTTTTTCTCTCTCTCCACAACGCCTATCCCTACGGAGTTGCAATTCAATTCTGAAAGACTGCTGCTAATCTGAATTTGGATCAATGTTATTATATTATACAACGTGTTATTTACTGCAAAATATTCAGCCGTATTGATTTCAGGCAAGTTTTTTGTTTTGTTTTTAACACACTGACATGACTTCAGTTTTCTCTTGCAATAAGAATGTGTGTGTGTGGGGGGGAAGCAAGTGCTATAAAACTAACCGTGTGAAGATAAAGCCTTAGCTGCACTTTTAACGTCCCCTTTCGCTGAAGGCATACTGCAAGCGCCGTGCCTTCTTAGTCATGCATCCACTTTGGTCTTTATAAATTATGTACATTTTTAAATCCCAAAGAGAAACAGGGCTTATAAATAGTTTCCCCCCCTAGAAATGAACTAGCTATCTCAGGAAACATTTGAACTACGATCTCTGCTGCCAAACTGGAGAGCTTTTTTTATTTTAATGCTGGAGTGTGTCTGACAAATCCAGAAAAACATGTTTGGCAAAAAGCCTGGTAAGTATGACCTTGCCTGGGAGAAAAGACAAACCGAGAGCTATTCCAGTTTGCTGTTCAGCTTCTTGCTCTCAACCAATTAGGAGAAAGGAGAAAGCAGGGCTGTGGTTTTGGAGTCTAGTATCCTGCTAATAAATATAGCAAGAGAAACTTAAATGGCACTGTAAATATATATAGTCACACAACATGAATAAGTACCAGACAGATATAGAGTCTTATTTTGAGAAGAAAATACAATTGGATGGGTATTGCTGAAGCTGGAGGAAGATCTCAGAACTGGAAAGTTTATTTTTTTTTAAAAAAAAATGTGTGCATGATCCAATTTCCCCCTCAATACTATCTTCTTTTCTGATAAATTTTTTTTATAAATATATTTTTAAAAATGCACATATTTACCCAAAAATCTGATAAAAAAAATCTAGGAAAGTTGGAAGGAAAGCATTAAAAATGATGAAACTGTAATCACGTACAAATCAAAAAACACACAGATGATCCTTTTTTGAAACAAATGATTTAACCGGAGCATTTAACCAAGCCATGATGGCAGTGGGGGATTTTAATCAGTTTGTTACCCAGAGACTATGCAGGTGTCACACTACAATCATATCCTTCTTGTACTGTGCAGAAACTGGACTGAATGATCTTTGACATTTCTTCTCATTCCCATCATAATACTATAAGCCACAATGAGTTAAATTGTTCGATTTTTGCCTTGCCGTGTTGAGGATGAACCCCATACTATGGTTTCTAACCATGGCCTATGACCAGAAGCAGAAAGCTTGCCAATGGTTTAACACGATGACATATTTGTGAGTGAAGCAAACACAGCACTTTAAATTAGCTTTGGAGTGAGACTTTTCCTTAGGGAATTACTTCTTTGGAGAAATAATCAGGCATAGTTAACAAGGATTTCAACCCGTCCAGCTAATCACCAGAAGATCACTGGAAGCATTGGGTCACCAGGTCCCAAAGAAGGAAGAATGGCACAGACACACGCAGACCACCTGTCAAAAACACTTTAAAGTTACCAATGTTTCTCAGTCTTCATATCTGTATTCTTCACAAACACACAAAAATAAGACATGCTCATTCAAAAATGATTGAGAATGGATGTAACGGGCAAACAGTTCAAACCACCCAATATTCATTCACTGATTGGCCACTGAATGAATATATATGGGGTTATTCTCTCTGGCTATTTTGTTGATATTAGCTGAATAGTTGTCCCAAAGGTGCTTTTATCTTAAAGGCAACTGGACTTTCGGATTTTTCTTTGAAGATGTTTTTGCTTCTCATCTAAGAAGCTTCTTCATTTCTAAGTGAGTTCAGGCCAGGACAAATCTAGGAAAGATTATGAAAGATAAGGACATTCCCCGAACAATGAAATAAACAATGGCCTTTCCAATAATGATAATGTATGGACATGAAAGCTAGGTGTTGAGAAAGAGTAAGAGGAAAAAAGATAAATATCCTCAAACAATGGATCTGCATATATTTTTTGTACTAAAAGTACCACGTAAACAAAATCTAAGAATTCTAAAAGATGTTTTTATGCAAGTCTGATGTGCACCTAATTCTAGAGTCACATAATGTTCAAGTGTTCTGCACTCCCAGGGGAGCAGGATATTACAATGGCCTGAAAAATATGATACCTGAGTTCACATATATGTATGGCATCTGTAATAATCCTTCCTTATAGGAGGCCTCTGAAAGTACTAAGCTGTTTAACCATATTCTCCTAACACAGCATCACTTACCATCATCTAACGTGATGTCTTGCAATCCCATTGTCTGAAAATTTAACTCTTGATCTTCTGGTTCAGGCTTAACATGAACAGCTGACCCTTCTGATGGAAATGGAGATGTGTCACACATGTTATGATGCATCAAAGATGAAGCTGTAGCGATTCCTCCCAAACCTGGGCTATGCTCCTGTGGGGACTGTTGCCCAGGCTGACTGACAGAGGCTGGAGGAGGAGGAGGAGGAGGAGATGAGGCAGATCCCGAGCTAGAAAGATGGTAAGGTATAGGTTGCAACTGTGGCGAAGATGGCCCAGACCGTGGTGAATGGACTAAAGAATGAGAAGAGTTGGGGGATGGTGATGAGGAGTTACCTGGATTCGAAGAATAAGTCATTTGCTGCAACTGTGTGGAAGGATGTCCGAGGGACGGAGTCCCTGCAGAAGAGACAGGACTGTGCTGAGGATCGGGACAATGGTACCGCATGGGTTGCAAATGAGGTGAGGAGTGTCTCGACTGAGCTAGGTGTGCTGAAGTATGTCCTCCTGTTGCAACAGAAGTTGACACTGAACCTGAACTTGAAGAATGATATGGGATTGGTGGCAGAGACTGACAGCTGAGGTTTATCAGTGGAGGTACCGGTGCATCTTGCTGAAATGAAATTGCCTCGTAGCCTTGACTAGAAGAGGCAGGATCCATGGGAAGACCAGACTGTCCATTAAACATAACGTTAGGCTGCATAGACGGATAGGAAGGCCCCACGGAGGATGCCGCCGTTACCTGAAAAGACGGATGGACTACAGCTGAAGACAGAACAGGGTGATCTTCACCTGGACTAATGCTTCTACCTTGTATGTGTGACAACTGAGTTACTGCTGAGGAGACCATGGGCGTGAATGGTTGCTGTATGGGACATACAAAGTTCCTGGAGGACGCAGAAAGTAAACTATCGTGTGAAAGCCCTGGATCAGGTGAAGGCAACTGGGTTTGGACAGGAGAGAGTCCTTTACAGTGAGTCAGGGACAACGATGGAACTGAAGTCAAATCCATTTCATCTCTGTTCTCTTGTTTCAATACAACTGTGTAACAAGAAAACAAGGATCAGCTAACGTTCACCGATGAAATGATAAACAGAACTCAAGTTGTTCTACTCCCACCCCCCACATCAAAACTAGCATGCGCATGAATGGCAGTGAATATACATGAAAAATGCAGTTAACTACAACATACTTGAAAAGGAAGATATGAAATATATTTGCTTATTCTGGGATAATACAGATAAGGGTTTTCTCATTATAGTAACAGGAATTAAAGAACAACATTCTGGAGCTGAGAATTTTCAGTTTGAGTAGAGTCTCATTCAAAAACGGTTTGGAATCTACGACTGTTCCGATAAACCATGTACATTTTCTGACATGGTTTATCGGAGAACTGAGAACCACAAGACATAGTCTATCAGAGCTTACTATGGATCAAAGAACGCAGCAAAGGCCTTCAGCTCCATGCTTTTCTTATTTCTAACCTTCAAACAACAGTTTATTCACTCAGAATTAGAATTTAAGACGCAAAGCTGCATTTCTCCTCATTTGCAGTCCTAGTTAGAAACTTGAAAGTAAACTGAAATTTTTTTTTAGTTTTTTTAACTTATCTTTATTAATTAACTTTATAAACAACTCAAGGATGCAAACATACATAATACTCTTTCCTCCTTCCTCCAGCTCTCTGAGGTGGGTTGGGCAGAGTGAGAAATCACTCAGCCAGCTTTCATGCCTAGAACTAGAACTCATTGTCTCCTGTTTTCTAGCCTGGCGCCTTAAAAAAAACAACAGGTCAATTGATGCTAAATTTAGAACTTTCTAGCTGTCAGGAAAGCATTCAAAATTCCTCTTTAAATTTTTTTTTCTCCAATTCATACCTAATTTTCTATGTAAAATAAGTAACATATCTCAGAATCAGGGCAATGGACTAGAGACATTTGAAAGAAAAAAACCATTCTCACTCATTTCTTTGCCAATAATCGGTACCTGGAGTATATGTGAAACGCTGAGCCTGGCTTTTTTTCCTTTTGCCGTTGCAAACATAGAACTGCACGTGGACGGCCGCTGGAATTGATTTGTTGTGATATGGAGGAACTTCAAGAATGAGCGCAGCCTGTGCACAAATGAATAAAATGACAGAAAAAAGACTTGAGTGTGTCTCAGAAGGATTTTTTTTTCATCACCTAGCTAAGCCTCCACGTCTTCATTAGACCTGAGAAAGTACGTGTTGTATTCCCTACAGCTGTTTTTTAAAAAGAGCTTCTCGGCGTTGACAGTTTTTTACAAGCTAACTTTTTCTAAAGAATAGTGGCAGGATGTTTTGGAGTCTCCCGCCTATGGGTTGGTTCTACTTCAAAAGGCAGGGAAGAGACCTCACGAAGCAATTGCCTTAAGTGCAGGACCATGCTTTCATTGAGTACTTACATATTCTAATCCAGTGGTGGCGAACCTATGGCACGGGTGCCAGAGGCGGCACTCAGAGCCCTCTCTGTGGGCACACGCGCCATCACCCCAGTCCTAGGCCTTCAGCTGGGTTTTATAAAATCTTTTTGCTTTAGGCCTCCACTGCCGTGTGCAAAAAAAAAATAAAAATCAATCAATCAGTCAATTTCAACTTCTCACCGGGAAAAAAAGATCTTGCAAAGTTGGAATTGATTGATTGAACTTTTTAGTCCCACCCAGTCTGCCGTTACCATCGCAGCCACGCCCACCCAATGGGCCACACCCACCCGGCACCCAAAGATGCATAAGTGGGTTTTGGGTTGCAGTTTGGGCACTCGGTCTCTATAAGGTTCGCCATCACTGTTCTAATCATTACAATTTTCCAAAATGTTAGCTTACTAAGCTAACATCTGCACGCTGAAGACACCAATGGGGAAAGGGGACGGAGTTGGCACGTCAATCTCTGAAAAAGGTTTTACTTCTAGGTTCCCAAGTTTGTGAACCAGACATGGCAGCTGCTGTATCTTTATTACATAATTGATATTTTTCCTCCTCCTTCGTGTCCTGCGATTCCTATGCTATTAGTGTTTACTTTCTGCACATCGTTTTGCCCTTTCTCCCAAGACTGAAGGTTAATTTTTTCTATTTAATATTACATCATTCACCACTTTAGCCTTCTCCTCCTAAAAACCTGGCTCAAATTCTGCTAATGTTTTTACACAATTGATGTAAGTGTTAAGGGAGGGGGGGAAAGGCTGCCTACGTTATGTTTAGTTTTCCACCAGGATCTTTACAGAAATCAGTAAAATAATTTTGTACTTTTAAAAAAAAAACCTCACCTCTTGACTCCTATCTCTAATTATTTTTCCTTCCACCTCCCATTGGGGCCGTCCATCTACAAAGACAAAAATTTCAGGTCACGTTATCAGTTTGTTCTAAAATAACTCAGTTCTTAAATACGTACAAACACACCGTGTGCAGCTCTTAATGGTGTTCATCTGAAAACGAGACTTGTACTTGTTGCAGATATATATTCGTATTTGGCCATGCAATACCTATCTTGTGCAAAGATTACTGGCCAGAGAGAGTTGAGCTTTGACTCATTCACTCCAAATGGGCAGTACACGATGGATAAAGAGGGTCTTGAACGATTATCTTTTAAGAAGGGAGGAAGAGCAGCGTGGTGGCCTAGTGATGAAGACTGTCGCCTCCCAGTCAGAAGGTTGAGAGTTCAAGTCTGGATAGCGGCAGATGTTTCTCTCCTAGGGCACGAAGAAAAAATGTTTGCTGCGAACCCTGCATGGCATCAAGAAGGGCATCTGGCCAGTAAAGGCTCAGCTGCATCCAGTTGCCCTGCTGGGATTCAAATATGTGAACAACCAGTTCTCTGTGTGGATGCCACTTCCGAAAGTCCGTTCTGGGCTTGGGCAACAAAAAATTAGCTACCGGTTCTGCCGAAGTGGTGCGAACTGGCTGAATCCCACCACTGCTCCACCCCAAATCAAGCGCTTACAGGGTCATAAAAAGGGAGTTTTAAGAAGAGAGGAAATGATGGTGTGAGTGAAGATATATGCATAACTTATAGGATAGTTGCTGGTGCACGCACCCAAATGGTCAACATATATGCAAACAGGACCATGAAATGGAATAATCACAAGTAGAAAGATTTGGGCTGTTTCATGGGTCAACCAGAATGAACCAGAAGCTGCAGAAAAATCTGAGCAAAAGGTAACATTATATACTGCTGTACATACAAGTATATTATATGCATTGCTCATTTAATCTATATCCTATGTTTCTATCTAAATGAATATTCAAGGCATTGAGTGTTACCATTAAAAATAACATGCAGAAAGCTAAAAGAAACAAAGTACCTACCATATAAGAGGCTTGGAAAGAAACATAGTTTACAGTTAAAAATAAATAAATTAAAAAGGGAAGGGAACTCTTGAAGAGTTTCATTCCATTGCCTAACAGAAAAAGGTGTCTCCCTCCGTGTATATGACTGGTTCTAACTGTACAAATCTTTCCAATCAAAGAGAGGTTAAATCTGTCCAGTTTAATCAAGCAATAAGAATAAATTAATCTACAAACAGACAGCCGTTCTTATTGTTCCACTGTCCTATCTCGAAATCTACAAACTGGAAATAATCTAAAATAACAAGGCAAGCAGATTCTTACAATCTGCCCCAACACTGGAATCCAAAGTCATCTGGATCTGACTGATTTCCTCTGCAAACAATATGGAAACTGCAACGAGTCACTGACTGCTCTGGCACTAATCATGATAAAAGTATTGCTGCATATCCCAAAAAAATATGCAGCAATGGAGAACTAAAAACTCACTACCTCCACTGCTGCAGAAGAGAACTTCAAATACATTTCACTCTATGTTTGATCCGAGCCATCTTGAAAAGTCCTTATCTTACACTTAACACAACCGTCAGCTCCACAGTTAAGCATGGGGCTGCTCTGGCCCAATGGGAAAAGGGCACTATAAGCGATGCCAACTGGATACACTAGGAGTGTACCCAAATGCAAATTCCTACATTTCTCACCGCTGAACTGCATTTTCTTGGATAGGGGGTCAACTCTATCGAGATCCTTTTGAATTCAGACAGTGTTGCACTTCATTGCAGGTTAAAAGGATGCCGTACAAAAATAGACAGCGTGATTGAATGCAACTTAGAGACTCTGGTATGTTCCTCCAGAAATAAACTCTTTCTTGAAACTCTTACTTGAAACAGGTTAACTTACCTTGTCCCTTTTCCAGAAATATTATTTTTGATTCTGGAAGGAAGTTGCAGCCCGTAACAATCATTTCATGGCCGCCATTTGCGGAGCAATTACTGATGCTGTATTTCTCTATCTGAGGAAGTTCCTGAGCGGATCTCTGAGCTTTATGAAAGAGAAAGAGAAAAATGCATAAGCAAGTATACACGTATAATTCTTATCATCTCTCTCTCTCTTCTCCCCGCCTTCGCCATTTTTATTTCACACGTTCAACACACTTTCCTATATTCAGCTGAACTATAGTTTACTCACGGAATTTCTGAAATTGCTTGACACATGCTATGAACTAACCCTACGGGCTGGATTTGCAAAATACCCTAGAGACTCAAATGTGCCTTACAAATCTGCGGTAAGTAACGTGTTGCGGCGTTTTTATATCCCTGTATCATTCGTTTCAAAACTCTTTCAAAATCATTATGCTCCGTTAAATTTAACTGTGAAATTACAATCAATGGCTAAGCATAATTTAATGCTGCTGCTTTTGTGTCAGAAGGAGCAAGGAACTTCCGGATTGAAGGGATTAGCCTGTGACATCACCATTGCCCGGAGGATGCCCACTTGGGGGCTCCTTTCAGGTCCCCATTAATGAGCCCAACGAATTGGTACTTACTTATCTACTCACATTTGCTCCTTTGGGCAGGAGCTAGAGCAAATGACGGGAACTTACCCCAATACACAACAGCACTAAGGCCTCAAACATGGGCTTGCTGATAGTCATAACTTACTTAATGTAATATGTAACTTTGACTACTGACGTGGGCTACAATCTCTCAATAAATACTGGTGCAATAAAAGCATGGTTTTATAGAAAACGTTCCCTGAAATATATTCAGAAGCTCTAGTCTAGAAAGACTTACGCCAGTGTTTCTCAACCATGACAATTTTAAGGCATGTGGACTTCAACTCCCAGAATTCCATTGCTGGCTGTGGAATTCTGGGAATTGAAGTCCACATGCCGTAAAATTGTCACGGTTGAGAAACACTGACTTACGCGCACGCACATACACACATTTATTCACATCTTGAAAAGTAATTTGATCTAAAGCAGTTCCATAGTACCAACATTTCAGTTCGGCATACATCCCTAACCTAATTCAAAGTACTGATAGTGTGTACAAATAAGTAATATAAAAGTTATCATATTCCAACTAGCCCTGAGATATAAGAAACATCTAAATATTAAATACAATACAATAATAACTCATAACAAGTTACCGCAAATAAAGCATTTCATGATTAGTACTATTTGAGAGAGAGAGACAGAGAGAGAGACCAAGAGACACAGAGAAACTATCTGTCTCAGAAATAAAATCCACAAATGAATATATCAGAATAAGTAAAGGGAGCTTTCTAAAAGTCTAAGCACAAGAAGGTAAAAAGCTACCTAGATGTAATATTTCTTATGAAGTACAAAATTAATTCCTGAAGTATTGGCTTCAGGATTGAAATATTTATGGATATGAAGATTCCCTGCACCACAGCAGCCAAAACAGGAGCAAACTTACAGCATTCAACAGGTATAGAGGCAACTTGAAGGGACAAGACCTTCCCACTAGGCTGTGGGATATGGACACGAAATACAAGCCTCACTCTTGTGTTTTTTCTGCCAATATCTGTCTCCCCCTTCCGAAGCTCTATATCTGAATTGCGGAGTTTCAGAATACCTGCACAGTCAATACTGGAGAAAATAGAAAACATAGACCAAGTGTTATCTAATTAAACTTGCATTTTTCTTGTTTAAATATCTGCAAACATAAAAGTCACCCATTTATAGCAATAGCACTTAGACTTATATGATCGAACTCCACATTGTGGGCAGTGTTAGCCTGCAATACTGCATTCTCACCACTGCGCCACCAGGGCTGCTTATCATGTTAGACTGCAAGCTGGACATTGTACCTTTGTACTAGAACAAGTGGGAAGGTATTTATTTTGCAGCAATCAGGCATGGAGCTGTTGGGGATAAAAATCTCAGCCAGCTGCTGGCAGTACAAGCAATCATATAATTCTGCTTGGTGTTTAGTCTTAGAGCTCTTCAGACGTAGCACAATGCTGCAGGCTGGACAGAGAAAGAGTGAAAAGGCACATCTCCAGGGCTCATCTGAAAGGATTGTGACTATAGATGATTGACAGAGGTTAACTGCAGAACATCTGTGAATTATTTGCAAAATAATTCTCTTGAAAACCACATCTACTAAAAATGGATCACTTCTTATGACAGCTGATCACCAGTTTTCAGGTATCATTTTTTTAAAAACATCTCAATAAAAAACATATAAACTGACCCTCCCTGGGTCAGTCAGTATCAGATGTGAAAAAGCATTGCTTGCAGAGTCCTAAACACTCTCATTTCATATTCTCCTTCTTACAAATGAGGGCATATGAGTCTCCCTCATCCTTATTCAAACAAGCCATAGCTTAACAATACCTGCAAATACAGTAAGCAATGTTTGTGCAGACCAGGGGCAGAAGAGAGGAATGGGAATCGAAAATAAAGGGTGAAAGAACAGACATGATACAGCCAAATGTGTTTTGGAAAGCCATCAAAATTATATTGGAATAAATTCATTTTAACCTACCTTGCTCTGCTGATCTTAGTACTTCACTACCTCAGAGAAAATACATTTTTCCTTATTTTGAACAGACCTGACATTTTTTTTAGAATCAACATTAGTTCAAGGATTACAGACAAATATTAATGGGCGGGTGTATGAGGGGAAAGGAGTTGTTATGAATGTGTCTGCAGGTCATTGAAGAGTTGCTTCAGAGAGTTGCAAATAATCAAACACAAACTAAAGCTAAGATCTTCCGTTGTAATATTTGTGTATGTTTTTGTGAACGTGTCAGTGTGTTGAATGTGTACTGTGCATACACGATCACGTACATATATCTACACTGATATAAAGCAACTAATTCTAGGATACAAAATCCACCTGAAGCTGTATAATCTTATTCATACTGCATCATGAAACACCTGCACTCCAGCTGTCAGCCAAGCATCTTTGTTTTCTTAATGGGTCCACTTCAAACCTCAAGAATCCCATCCGAAACAGAAGTTGCAAAGAGCTGCGCTCGAAAGCTGATATATAAAGATCACAGTTTAATATGTTATAATCAGTATCACGTATCCCGAAACCCACGAAAGCCTATGAAATCTGGGATACAACATATAGATTTGCCTGGCAGAATCCTCAGACTTACCAGGCAGACATATTGTTTTCAGGTAAAAGAGGAATTTCCAAAACCTTTGTGCTGGCAAGGATTATTTCTTGACTAGCTGTGGCAACAGTTTTTCCTGTGATTCTGTGCACTTGGTAGAAAGCATGTGGCCGTAAGTACCGATCGTCTGCTGTCCCAATGAACATTTGAAGATTTACAGGTTTTTCATTGTAACCTAGAAGCTGATAAGAAACAAAAAAAAAAAAAAACCTGTTAAAAATGAACGATTAGCTTTTCAGAGTGAAAGTGTTAAAATTGCACACATGGCTTCAGATACAGATGCGTATCTGAAAAAAGGTTCACAAGCATACGCCTATAACAGGGGTAGGCAACATTGGCTCTTTTATGACTTGTGGACTTCAATTCCCAGAATTCCTGAGCCAGCCATGCTGGCTGGAGAATTCTGGGAGTTGTCCACGAGTCATGAAAGAGCCAAGGTTGCCTACCCCTGGCCTACAATAAAAAATTTTAAAATGGCAAAATCTTACAATCAAACCACTCTGCTGCACTTGGCAGTCCTTAGGCTTTTAGAATTATGTCACACAAATAATTTATTATTATACAATGCTACGGTTTCCTTTTCTAAAAAATAATTTTATTGATTTTTTACCTCGTTCATAGTGTTGATTTTTACCTAGGTCCAACCTAGAATTAGAGAGCTGTTTCCTGTCAGTGAGAACAATTCATCAGTGGAATGCCTTGCTTCCAGATGTTGTAGATGCTCCATCACTGGAGGTTTTTAAGAAGAGATTTGGGCAGCCATTTCTCTCCTGCTGAAGCAGGGGGGAGGGGTCGATTAGAAGACCCCCCCAACATCTCTTCCAACTCAGTTATTCAGTTACCTTAGAAATCCTAACTAATTGGCGTCCCCAAGTATTTTAGGTATCACTCCTACTACATAATGCACTCCCCAATAAGTTACCAAAAGCCATAAAACAAACTCTTTTTTTTATTTTTTTAAAGTAAAATACTATAATAGGAGGCTTATCTTTCACTCAAAACGATTTTGTGGTGAAACAACCTTTCTACAAGTCAAACTGGGTCCATCCTGTTGTTGTTAGTTGCGAAGTTGTGTCCAACCCATCGCGACCCCATGGACAACGTTCCTCCAGGTCTTCCTGTCCTCTACCATCTTCTGGAGTCCATTTAAGCTCACGCCTACTGCTTCAGTGACTCCATCCAGCCACCTCCTTCTCTGTCGTCCCCTTCTTCTATTGCCCTCAATCCATCCTATTGCAGTCTATCCTATTGCAGTCTATTGGGAATGTGGTGGCTCATGTGGTCAGGATGCTGGATTGAGGATTGGCAGGCTTGTGTTTGAAACCCGGTTACTGCCTTGTGGTGGGGTGAGCTCTCATCATTCGCTCCATCTCCTGCTGACCCAGCAGTTCAAAAGTGGGCGGCCATGGTAGATAGATGGGTACCACTTCAGTGGGCAACTTAATGGAGTCAACAAAGGAGCCCCCAACTGCACATCTCCTGAGCAATGGTGATGTCACCGGTTGATCCTTTCACCATGGAAATATAGCATGGCAGTAAAAAAAAAAAAAAAAGGGTAAGGAAGGGGTATCCCTCCAGTGGTTTGAAGCTACCAACTTTCACATTCTGTTTCCATTGGCTATGATGAATGAGACTGATGGAATCCAAAACAGCTGGAGGATGCCAAATTGCCTCACCCCTTAAACAGAAGCATGGTGATTTTGCTTGCCAAGTCTTTTGAAGATTTTTGATGAACTCCTTCCTGATCTGTTTTAATGTAATTTAGCAGTGGTTTTAAGTTATAATGTTATTTAGGGAAACTGCACTGGAAAAAGAACTCTGTTGATGCAAATGCGAGCAGCAACAAAATGCATTAAATCTGTCAAAATCAAAACCACCAAGGTACAATCCCACATGAAAACCATTTTGATCGTTCAAACAAAAGTCCCGTTCTGAATTGCAACATTTAATTTAAATGTAATTCATTTCAGCTCTTAATTACAGAGGAAAATCCTTCCTCCATATATATCCAGCTTGATCATATTCATATTTGGTGAGAAGCATCAATATTCAGTTAAGAGCACCCAGGATCACTACCAAGCCTGCTTCGGAGGTTTTCCATTCTGTAGCAAAGTCATCTAGTTTTTTAAAAAATATATGTATAATTTTTATTAAGAAATTTGATTACAATAATTGATGATACAGTCTCCTGTCTCCTCCCTGTTCCCTTCTTCCTAAGAAGCTGCTGCTTCACTGTAATCCATCATACCAGTTCCCCCCCATCATATCTCACGGCATCAGATGCTCCACTTCTAATAACTCCAAATAAGAAAAAACTGCCCTTTTAAAAAGTAATAATAATTAAAGGTAGCCCAACATTACACTCTGCACTTGTAGATAGCAATAAATTGTGCATTTAAAAAAAAAAACTACTTGTGTTTTTTCAAACTAGTGGGAACAGTCAGTACTGGTTGTTATTGAAATTGCCCAGATTGATTAGCTTTAATTATAAAACTCATTGGGATAACCTGGATTAGCTAGTGGCTCTCAAAATCTCAACATAAAATGGGAGCAGACAGAGAGCATCAGCCTAGCTACAGGATCCAGAAGATCAAAGAGAGCTGTTGCTCTGCCCTAAATGGTTCTGAAAGTCCAACTTCACAAATCAGCACCTCGTGGTCAGCCATTAAGAACATGTTGTCTTATATATTAGTAGAACCTAAAAAAAACTTCTTGGCTTTTCAGGAATTTAGAGTGTATATTTTCTTCCTGCTACAAACAAAGCTATCTTCCATTCCCAAATATAATACAGCAGCTATGTATTATTATGTGCATAATGGCATATTCTCATCATCTACAACAGGGGTAGGCAACCCAAAACACTCAAAGAGCCACTTGGACCCGTTTCCCACCAAAAACAAAACACTGGGAGCCGCAAAACCCTTTTGATATCTAAAATGAAGATAACACTGCATATATCCTTTTTTACCTTTATTATAGGTGTGTGTGTGTGTATGTGTGTGTGTGTGTGTATGTGTGTGTGTGTATATATATATATATATATATATATAGAAAACCCGAACAACCAAAGACCCGAACAACCAAAGACCTACATATATGTGTGTGTGTGTGTGTGTGTGTGTGTGTGTATACACACACACACACACACACAGACACATACACATATACACATTAAAAATAAAAGTAAAAATATGACTCTTGGGAATATCCATACTATTAAAATAATGATCACCAAGCGAATGCTTTAAGAGAATAAAATTACATACACACACAGGTTAAAAAAGGATATATGCAGTGTTATCTTCATTTTAGATGTCAAAAGGGTCTCTCTCTCCCTCCCTCTCTATCTTCCCTTGGTCTGCCACTCCTCTTCCCCCACTCTCTCTCTCTCTCCCTCTCTCTCTCTTTCTCTCTCTTTCTCCCCCTCCCCTCCTATCTGCTGCTCACCTGGCAAGCTTCAGGCTGTTGTCCAACAAGATCAGGGGTATGCAACCTCGTCTCTTTTATGACTCATGGACTTCAACTCCCAGAATTCCTGAGTCAGCCTAGCTGGGCTAGCTAGCTCTCTCCTGCCCTTCCTGCTTCCTGCTTCCTTCAGAGACGCAGCAAAGGGAGGAGCTCCGCCCAGAAAGCTTTTCAGCTCCTCGGGGAACACTGTGAGTGCACTCTCTTTTACACACACACACACAAAACACACACACACACACACACACACACACACACACACACACACACACACAGAGAGAGGGAGAGAAGCAGGGAAGTGCAATTGCCTCCCTCTGTCTCTGTCTCTCTCTGCAAAGGCAGAGGAGGCTGGGAGCCACAGGGGAAGGCTCAACGAGCCGCATGCGGCTCCGGAGCCGCAGGTTGCCGACCTGTGATCTACAAAAACTGAACAGATGTGGTGTTTTATTTTTCCCCATCATATTTATAAATTTAGTTCCTTCCCTCATTTTAACTGGGTTTGCTGTAATTCCATTAATCTCTCCATGAAACTTCCCCATCTCGGGAACGTCCATATTTTCCTTTCTTATATGCCCTAACAATGATGGCAATGAAGAAAATATAATACGAAAAAACAACCAACTAATTTATCGTTAGTGAATTTATCAAGCATAAATTACTCAGATTGCAGAAACATTTTTATATTCCTTGGGGGTCAGTTGTGACCCCCCCCCCCCACAATCCACAAATAACCTGTCAAATCACAAAAACCTAAGGAAATGATACAGTGATGAAAAGTGAACTGAAAACTCCTTATGAATGAAGTTTAATATACCTATCCCAGGATGTGTAGACTTTTACTTCTCAATACAAAGGAAATAATAGCAGGAGCCCCCTTTTTTTTCTGAGACCCTTACAATAGCTACTGTCCAATCTCTCTGGCCTGATTTAAGACACTTTTCTATTTAACAATTTCCCCTGCCAAAACGTATCCCACTTATGGAAAAGTCCTCTGGTTTTGTTTTGAACAGACTATGTCCTCCCATTTTTTGCTTTAAAAAAAAAGGAAATATGGCAGTTGCACGTTGACTGTGCAACCCAAAATATTAGTACAAGTGGGACCTTTATAAACCTTCCAATGGATACTATATTAAATGGCTGATATTAAATACCGATCTGTGTCCTCTACGCAGACACTACACTCTAGCGGTTGTCTTACAAAAAGGAAACAGAACATGTTTAAAATACATTTACAGTTCCTACAGTTGCCCAAATATAGGCATGCTTATGTGCAATGTATTTTTATTCCATAAATATAATCACATACTCTTCACACAAGGCATCATGAGGAATATTGTAAATAATGAAAAGTTACAGCACCATCTCATGAGTGACCTCTAAAAATCCTCCGCCAGTAACTATATACTGTGACACACAACCCATTGCTTTGCAGATGAAACTCTGCCAAGCTGTTTGTGTTTCTGTATCGTTTCCATAGCAAAAGTCAGTGTATGCGTAAGTTAAACTAAAGCTGGAAGGCTAAGGAGAGAAGGTCACTACAGGATAAGCTACAATAGCCGCTCTCTAAAACACCTCTAATTGTGGCAGAGTGTTGTCACAGGCGGGTTTCCTTAAATGTGGATGCAAGGCAGAAATAACAAAGGAGGTTAGGAAAAGGAGAATTTATTTACTGTTTCACATTTTTCAACCTTTCTCTGAAGCCAGTGCCTTGCAACTC